TAGATTCCTAATTCACAGCTTGTTCCAGTTCATCTGACCATGGAATACACTGGAGTTACTATAACTATGTAGTTCTCTGTCAGTGATGGACTTGGATTGCTTTAACTAGTCAGACACAGGGACAGTTGAGGAGTGGGTTATGGAAAATTGGTTTTTATGGGCAGGAAAGTAAAACCTCATAAGTTCTTCTGAAGATAAAGACTGTATTAGTCATGACAGACAGTTCCCCTCTCCTCTTAGGCACTTGAATTCTAAGAATATTTCTTCCATATTTTACAGCTATGCAATGAGTAAAGAATTTTGCCATCAGTACACTGTGAACAAGGCTACACAATAAATTTGTGTGAAAATATGGTATTCCTGGAGTGTAGCTTAAATGATGCTGAATGCAGAGGGGATCAGAGAGGTGAGAAATTCTTACTTTTGCCATATTAAAGTCAATATAAACACTGTGTGTGCTGGTGTTGTGAATACATATATAAAACCAATGTAAGATTGGGGTAGATCTCTAAACAAAACCAAAATAACCACCATCACCTGTGCTTATGTTTTATGGATGCATTTTTAAGACCCTTCCTCTGTGGCACCAGACAGTGCTGTAGATATCAAATGAAGTTATTAATTCCATTCATACTTTAAATTTCTTCTACAGTGTTGGAAAATTACATTCCATGCTTCATCCTGTGGCAGCTTTAAGATGTAACCATGCAGTCAACTTATCCTTCAGGTAAGCACACAGCTTGCAGAAGAGAGGGCCTGAAGAGCTGAGTAACACTTTCAAAACAAAACTGAGAGATTTCCAGATTTGTTTTTTGTGTTTTGAGGTTTTCTTACAAACCTGTACCTTAAAGTATTTCACTGTATGTACTGAGATAAACTATGTATACAAGTAGGACAATGTGTGGCTGGGGACCAAAATTACTTAAGTGGTTGAAACTGGCTTTTTCTGTTTTGCTTCTGTTTGAAGCAAATTTTGCTTTGCTTTTTTTCTACTTTGCTTTTGTCATGATACTGACCGTTTGGAATACTTAGAAGCCTTTGGATAAAAGGCACTGTGGCACAGCAGACTGTGGTTATGACTGATGCCTTTTTAGTTGTGTTCGACTATGGCTTTCCCACAGACATTTCAAGCGATCCTGCTCAATTATGTTAATCCCCATGTCAAATGAAAAGACTGGAGATTACTTCCATTTTCTCTTTGCTGTCTACTTAGCCTGTTGGGTATTTGATTGTAATATAGTGGTTGTCACATCTAATACAATGGCAAAATCAAGCCCTGATCTTGAATGGGGAATGTAAACAACAATTCAGGTAAGTGAGGAGACATCTGATCTCTTGCTTGAAATATCCCTGGGTCAGGGAGTTTTAATCAAGTTGGTCAGGTGAGATCTGCTTTCTTTCCTATACAGTGCTGTCCCTCCAGGCACTGTCTAAGCAGTGTCTTGAGAATTTATCGCCACCAGCAACTTGAAGAAAATTTTGCTTATAGAAGAAATTTCTTAATGCTGCTAATGAAGACCTGCCTGCAGCAGTAGCTCTGCCATCCTCTACCCTGGAGTGCATTTCCTCCCCTTCTGCTGCTTTCCCAGCCCCCCATTGATGGGATCAGGTAGGATGGAGAGAAGGAAAGGTAGCTGCAGAAGGGGAGGCATGGTAGAATTGAACTCTAGACATTCTTTAGATCAAATTAAAATCAAGTGCTGTTATTTAAAGATACCCTCCTGCCAGGTGTAGATTAGCCCAGGACTGAGCTGCTGAGAGTGTTGGGGACAATTTAAAAATGTAATTCAAACCTACCAGAATTTAAATTCAAGCCATCTATGCTTTGCCTGCAAATGACCATCACATCATTGGGCAGCAGCTGTGCAGCCTGTGGGCAAAGTTCTGCCGTTTGCATGTACGTGCCAGGAACGTACTCCTTAGCCTGAGAGGATCCTTGGCACTGGGATGTGACTGTGCAGAGCTCTCTGTACAGCCTCCTGGGCTGGCCCTGTGTGTGTGAGCTGAGAACTGCTGTGAACTCCTGACTTGGTGCATGACATGGTTGTAGAGAGAGCGTTTTATATGGAACTGTTTAATAATAATCACTTTTTTGTGAAGTGCTTAATCATTCCACCACACATAATAATATGGAATTAATAACTTCATGTGATGTTCTTTACACTTGAGTGGCTAAACAGGCTTTTTTTGGGAAGAATGTGTTAGATGTGTATCATATGACCTTATATCACCTAGACACTGTCACACTGAAGTTTTACAGTTAAAAATTACAAATCTCTTGGCATTATTTAAAGCAGGTTAGGAACCCATTTTATGTTCCTAGTACAATGCTAACTGGTTGTTTGCAGTTGGTGCTGTTAACCAATCTAAATATTGTTACAGTATGGGGAACATTCACTGCTTGCACATCTCTGTTTTCATATAAGGTGCAGGTTATAGTTTCAGAAACAAGTCAGTGCCTACGAACACTTCATTTTAGTTAAGTGAACCTCAATATCAAAGGTAATGCAGATCTTGTTCTAACAATTTGGTTCTGATCTTACTATTTTTTGCTTTTCTTTTGCATGTATATGGATCTTTTCCTATTAGGAAGCTAAGAGATGCAGGCAATATTTTTTGCTGTCAGTGGTGCACAATAATTATCAGAAACAGAACTCCAGCAACAGTGTTAGCAAGTCCATTTTGTTAGCTGAAGTATAAGTGTGCTTAAAGTACATATGCTTGTATACGTATATAAAAATAGTCACTCTTAATTATTGCAGAAATAGGAAAGTTGCTGTTACTATCAATACTTCATGGATATTGTGGTAACAGCTGATTTTAGAGCACTGATGGTGGCGAAACAGTTCCACATTGAACCAAAATTACACGTATTCTCAGGATACCAGTGTGGAATTGCATGGAACTCGTAGAGTTCTTAGTCCTCTAGCTCCCAGAGAGGACCAGGGTAGGAACGTAATGGAAGGACCTTTATCAAGCAAGGGATTTCTGAGATGAAAGTCACTCTGTAGCTGACTGCTAAAGTACTCAAAAGTCTGGCATCTCTTGCACACTGTGATTGGATAGTGGGCATATTGCTCACAGTAAGAGACATGATATTGGTTGTGCCCTTTCTGTCTTGGTACGTCATGCCACCAAGACATCTACTTATGAGAAAGTTTGCTGCTTGGACATGAGCTGTGATAAGCATTTGCAACCTGAGGGGAATGGATGATAAAACCACGTGCTTGTGCACCAAAGGTACAATAGGAAAGAGACAGTCTATCAGTCACGTGAATTGTGATTGGCCTGTTGCAATGGAAGAGCCTCTAACAAAAAAAAGAAAACTATTTACCTTCTAAATGAACTTTACAGAGTTGCACAAAAGGGAGAAGAAATAAGAAAAGAAGAGAGAATAGAAAGGAAGAGAAAGGTTCCCACAAGCTTTTCCGTTCCTAAATTAGCATTGGCATTGGTGAAGTCACACACAAAGGAAAGTGTCACTTTCTTTGTGCCTTTCGCAATGACATAAACATGCATGGCTATGAGATGACCAGAGAATACCTCACTCACAATGAGTAACAAATTAGTATTTTTTTCAAAGTAAAAAAATGATAACACAAGACCATCATAGGTATATGCTAGCTCTTTCAAAACATCTCTTTTTGACTTAATGTCAGTTAAGATCACTTGACTGGCAACTTGTTCTATCTAATACAACACAGGGGGATATTCTGAATAGGCTGAAGGATGTCTACTATGCAGCTTGGCTAGAACATCTGCCAAAAATGAAGTTGGCTTTGTTTTCAACATGGTTATCTACTTTGAAATTACTCCATAGAATAAATAGTGATATTCCATGGGTAGAGGTAGATTATGGGGTTTAAATAATCAAATTGGAGCCCCATATCTTTATGTGCTATAGGAGGATTCTCATAAAACTGAGACATGCCCATAATTAACCACTAGCCATGGGATATTATAATATATTCCATGGTGACTAGTATTTTTTTCATTTCCCTCCCCCCTCCCAGTAGAATTAGTATGATTAATTTTGCTCTGGTTTCACCTATTGCTAACATGAATCAGTATAATTAAAAATAAGGATACCATATTATGAGGCGATCACTGTTTAGGTGAAACTGGCCAGTAATGACCAGTCAGACCTTTTCCAGTTGGCCTTTGCTCCTCGAAGGTTGAAAGAGCTGTAACTCACCAACCCATACTTGCAAAAGGAGCATGTTTTAGAAAACGTGTTTCAAAACTCTTCATAGTTCTAAATGCTAAATTCTAGTGGAATATTATAGAATAGATTGATTTACATGCCATGGAATAAACATCCTTACATCTAGTCTTGTCTCAGAGTGAGTCATTTTGCATTAGTGTCAAGAATTTGAGCTGTTGTTCTACTTTGCAGGTAATCATCAGAAAGAGACGGGATTGTCTCATGAATATGCATGATGGTATAGTTGTCCCTTCAACTTCCTAGGCACCTAGTTTCTGTAATGAGATGTACAATATCTGCCATTTAAAACAGCTGAAAGGTCCCAAATGGGAGCAAATGAGAAAGCATCTGGCTGTTTCAAATTCCAGCCCTGTTTTTTTCAGAAAACTCTGTAATTGCTGAGTACTTGGCTCCTACTCTGCTCTATGAAGCATTCAGCTCTGAGGAGCCTCTAAGATGCATTACACAGTCCAGCAACATAGCTGTAGAACTCTCAAAATTCTTCCACTAGATGTAACAGCTCTCCAAAATATCTTGAGACTTGTATGCCCTTAACCAGGACCAAAGTTTGGGCTCCTAGAGCCAGCTCTCATCCTTAGTTTTGCTGATCAGCCTCCACTGTACCATTTGTCCCTGCAACCTAGACTTCACACATATTATTCACTGTGTGATGGTGGGACTAGAATGGATAAATGTGCTACCCATTGCTCTAAGAAAGCAGTCTGGCTGAATCTTAAATCACTACACGGGATGGAGGTTAACGGTCAGATGGACATTCCTCTAAGAGGTTTCCTACCTGCTCTGTTAATTTCTAAAATTTCTTCTTGGGCCAGTGGGCAAGTGTCGCTCTGAGTACTGTGGTGTGGAGAGTTTACGACAGATTTACAATAATTGGGGGATCCCAGCTGGGGTGGCCTCGGGATATGCTTCTTTTTTTTCTTTGGTAGCTTCTGCTTAGCCATAGCTAAGGAGTAATACATTCCGAAATTGTTCACAATGACAGGGACAGGCATGGCAATGGTCAGCACACCAGCAAGAGCACAGAGGGCCCCCACCAGCATGCCTGACCAAGTCTGAGGATACATGTCTCCGTAGCCCAGGGTCGTCATGGTGACAACAGCCCACCAGAAGCCGATGGGGATATTTTTAAAGTGTGTGTGTTCACTGGCACTAGGGTCATTTGGTTTAGCACCTATTCTCTCGGCATAATAGATCATCGTGGCAAAGATTAAGACGCCCAATGCCAAAAATATGATGAGCAGCAAGAATTCGTTTGTGCTGGCGCGGAGGGTGTGTCCCAAGACCCGCAACCCAACGAAGTGACGGGTCAGCTTGAAAATTCGCAGGATTCGCACGAAACGGACTACGCGGAGGAAGCCCAGGACATCCTTAGCAGCTTTGGAAGACAGGCCACTGAGTCCAACCTCTAGATAGAAAGGCAGTATGGCCACAAAGTCAATGATGTTCAAAGAGTTTTTGATAAATTCCACCTTGTTTGGGCAGAAAGTGACTCTCATCAAGAACTCAAATGTAAACCAGATGACACAGACACCTTCGATGTAGGTGAGAAAGGCTTCAGTCTCTGCTTCCCTGTAGTGCCGCACCTGGGTGTCGTTCCCGATGAATTCAGTTTCTGTCTTGTTCACAATAGGGTTAAATCTCTCATGGGTCTCGAGGCAGAAGGTGGTGATGGAGACCAGAATGAAGAAGAGGGAGGCAAATGCCACATACTGTGGAAAGAAAGATATGAGAGAAATGTTAAGCAGTAGTTTAAGTACAGGGGTTCTGAACCACCAGAATGAGACAAGAGTTGTAATAAAACTGAAGGTAATGCCACCTGTGGGCTGAAGATGCCAAGTCTCACCTGCAAAGACAATCTAACATTCAAACTTGGAGGGAGAGCAGTATATAAGTATGTGCTAACATTTATTCCTGTAGAGATAGCACTTCAGTGTGAGTGTAAATTTAAGGAAGCATTTAAATCTCAGAGCTTTCTTTGGGATTTAAAGTTAAGGACACCTTGAAATTCTGCCTTCCTGAACTTTATCCCGGTCTTAAAGCTAGAGCACACCTTCTAGGACAACTGTCATGCAAGAGTCTTTTAGGAGCATTGTGCCCGTGGTGTGATGGCTGCCTCATGCTCCCAGCTTAGTGACAGTTGTGGTATTTCAGATCCCAGTAAGGTGCTAGTAAATACTAGTGGTAGGCTCAGATGGGTTCTACAGCAAGGAGCAGAGTCCCACTTGGCATCGTCAGACTTTCTTACCAAATCCCAGGGACAGATTGAGGAACAGTGACATATCAAACTGAAGCTCTCCTAGAGTAAATGTCTTCTCTGTTCTCAGTTCCCTTCTCCAGATCTTTTGGGGGAGGGAGACAGAGAGAGCAGAAAAGATGTTTCAGATAAGCCTGTCAGCTGATCCAAAAGGAGACAGTTCTATTTGATTTTACTAGACAAGATTTTCTTCAAGAGATTCTCATTACAATATAAGAATTGTACCAGAACTAGATGAATCTTTATTAAAGCTGTTGGATTACGCTTGGGTTTATCAGGTCACAGTAAAGGTGGTAGCAGCCCCCCAAGTCAATGAGTATTTGTCTTAGGAGTATCTGCCTCTTCTGTTTCAGTTCCTGCTTTTCACAGACTCATAGTTAGGGTTGGAAGGGACCTTTAAAGATCATCTAATCCAACCTCTCTGCAGTGAGCAGGGACATCTTCAGCTAGAGAAGGTTGCTCAGAGCCCCATCGAACCTGATCCTGAATGTTTCCGGGATGGGGCATCTACCACCTCTCTGGGTAACCTGTGCCAGTGTTTCACCACCCTCATTGTAAACTACTCTTCCCTGTATTTAGTGTGAATCTACCCTCTTTCAGACTAAAACATTACCCCCTGTCCTGTTGCAGCAGTATCTACTAAAAAGCTTGTCCCCATCTTTCTTATAAGCCCTCTTTAAGCATTGAAAGGCCACAATAAGGTGTCCCCAAAGCTGAACAACCCCAGCTCCCCCAGCTTTTTTCAGGCTTTCCTCAGCCTAAAGGAGAACTCTTGCTTGTGTTCCAGAATAAAGGAGGGGTACAGTTGGTCCAAATTTCACATTTCTGTAAGCACAGTTCCTCTGCTCAATGCTCCTTTCATCAATAAGTAGTTTGCATATGTCTAAGAAGTCTCTTTGTGTGTTTGAGTGGTACAGTAATGGTAATACCTCTTTCCATTTCACTCTCTACATCTGTTATCCTCTGGTTTGTTTTGTGTATGTGTATGTCACTTTGACAAGAAAGGTCACATAAGATATTATTTCATTTTCTTCAGGAGCATGAGCAAGTGTGGTAATTAAAATATTAGTAGCATATGTTCTTATAGTGTCCTGTTATTCATAACATCCCTTTTTCAGCCAAAATAGGGGTTAAAAATAACTAGTTTATTTTAATTGTCTGTTGCCAGTAAATGCAGTACAGTAAGAAAAAAGAAATTGCTGCCAAAGGAACAGACCAGTTAAAAATAACCTAAGCTTTAAGCTACCAAAGCTCTACCAGAAGTTCCTCCTGTCTGCTTCCCTGGGTGGACCTAGTCCACAATTACACTTGACATTCATAGTAGCAAACAAAGTCAAAAGCAAGAATTTGCCTCACTTTGAAGTCAACCATTTCACAGAATACAGAGAAACTGGCAGAGAATAAAATCACATAATTGTTTACATTGGAAGGACCCTCTGGAGGTCTTTTGGTACAACTTTACAGCTAGAACAGGTTGTTTGTTCCAGGTCCAGTTCAGATCTGAATCTCCAAGACTGGAGATCCCACATCCTCTCTGGGCAGCCTGTGTCAGACACAGATACAGAAGCACACAAACTCTTCTGCTTATCACATCAAGCTTTGTTACCAAAGAGATGAGAACCTAGCCATTGGCACAGATTTTAAAAAGCCCAGTACCTTCCCCTAAATGCTTTAGGCTATCATACTATTGTTATGTGATGATCTAATATATGTGCTGATATGTGCTAAATTAAATATCTAATATAAACAATCTGGAGGTTAGGGAAATTGAGCAGCAGGACTCTGGGTGTTTTTTAAAATCAGGTTCTCCTATTAAACAGGGAGCTTTCTCCATACAGAGTTTCTCCATCTGTAAAAGAGGTTAAAAAAATACCAGCTGATGTTTGTCAGATGCTTTGTGATTCTAGATAAATTACAGAATCATAGAATTGTCAAGGTTGGAAAGGACCTTCAAGATCATCAAGTCCAACCACCCACCCTACAACCCCTAACCACTAAACTATCTTATGAAACACCACATCTACTCCTTTTTTGAACATCTCCAGGGACAGCACATCCATCACCTCCCTGGGCAGCCTGTTCCAATGTCTCACCACTCTTTCTGTGAAGAAATTTTTCCTAATATCCAATCTGAACCCCCCTGGCTCAACTTGGCCCCATTTCCTCTTCTCTGATTGCTAGTCACTAGGGAGAAGAGGCCAAAACCTGCCTCACTACAACCTCCTTTCAGGTAGTTGTAGAGAGCAATGAGGTCTCCCCTCAGTCTCCTCCAGGCTGACCAGCCCCAACTCCCTCAGCTTCTCTTTGTAAGACCTGTTTTCCAGACCCCTGATCAGCCCAGTTGCTCTTCTCTACACCGTCTGCAGCACCTCAATGTCCTCCCTATACTGCAGTGCCCAGAACTTCACACAGTGCTCAAGGTGCAGCCTCACCAAGGCCAAGTACAGGGCATGATCATCACCTCCTTGGTCCTGCTGATCACACTGTTTCTGATGCAGGCCAGGATGGTGGTGGCCTTCTTCACCACCTGGTCACACTGCTGGCTCATGGTCAGCTGGGTGTCAATCAGCACTCCCAGGTCCCTCTCAGCTGGGCAGTTCTCCAGCCACTCCTCCCCAAGCCTGTAGTGCTGCCAGGGGTTGTTGTGGCCAAAGTGCAGGACCCAACATTTGGCATTATTGAAACTCATGCCATTGGCCTTGGCCCAATGGTCAAGCCTGTGCAGATCCCTCTGCAGAGTCTCCCTGCCCTTAAGCAGATCAACTTCCAGCTTAGTCTTAGGCTAATACCTCAGAGTGTGAGTATAAAACAAGAAACAAAAAGCATCTTGGACCAAGAACTCAGGAAAATATTCCTAGCAGGCTCAGCCTGACTGCTCTATTTCAGCCTGGAGCAGATTTTTACCGTAGAGTTGTAGAGCCCTGAGAATTCAAGCTGCAGAAGGAAGTGCTGACACTTCATAAGTCTGGTAGCACTCACGGATAAGAAACAGAGAAGGGAATAAATCCATTTGGCAGACAGACTGGAGAGGGTCCAGAGAAGGGCCACAAGGATGATCAGAGGACTGGAGAACCTGCCATATGAGGAGAGGCTGAGAAAACTGGGTTTGTTCAATCTGGAGAAAAAAAGGCTTAGGGGAGACCTTATTACCATGTTCTAGTCCTTAAAGGGTGGCTACCAAGAAGATGGAGACTCCCTATTTACAAGGAGTCACATGGAAAAAACAAGGGATAACAGGCACACGTTGCTCCTGGGGAGATTCCAATTGGACACAAGAGGTAAATTTTTCCCCGTGAGGACAGTCAAACATTGGAATAATTTCCCAAGGGAAGTGGTAGATTCCCCCACATTTGACAGTTTTAAGCCTCAGCTTGACAGGGTGCTGAGCCATCTCACATAAACTACATTATTACCTAGAAAGATTGGAGCAGATGATCCTTGAAGTCCCTTTCAACTTGGCACTCTATGATCCTGTGAATTCGCATTTTAAGGGGCCAGTGAAGAAGGCCCCTTTCTTTATGTTAGTTCAAAATGCAGTTCTCCTCTTGGTGTATGGGAGTATCTCTCCTGAGTGAGTTTTTCCTGCTTAGGGCAACTTTCAGACTGACCTTGCACAGCAAGTGTCTTGAAAAGTGACACTTTGCTGTATTAAAGGGAAGAAATAACAAATTCTGACAGGACAGTTAAGTTCTCTGCAGGGGTACATGCTACCAGTGTTACCGGTAGAAAACATCACACCTGCAGTCCCCCTTGCTGTTAGTCTGTGTGTGTGTGTGTCTGTGTGTGTTCAGAGGGGAAATGGGAAATTTTAGTCCCTAGTTTAGCAGACAAGAAAACACCTACTAAATGAATGTGAAGTGTTTGCTTCATTCTATCTGTATTTAACAACACCCGGAGTCCTTTCCCAGGGGTGGACATGGTTTTGAGTGCTTTGCAGCTTTGGAAGTGTAGGGCTGCTTTCAAAATTTCCTAAAAGCATGTCTGAGCAATGGCATCAACAGGAAGAATCCCAATATTACTTCTCTATTTTTTTTTCTCTGTTCAATTACTATCTAATCCTAAAACCTATCTTCTATTTGGGAATTAAAAATGCTTCTTAGTAATTTCATGCTTGAAAGTATTTTTGAAAGTATTGAAAGGCCCTTATTTATTTTTTTTTAGGAGCAAGTCTGCAGAAACAGAAAGGCCTTTCACAAAAGCCCCATTACAGTTCTCTAGTTCCTTTGCTGATCCAGAGAAGTGCAGAAATGCCTGGGAATCAAGCCTGACAATTTATCTACCAGCACCAACCTCTGATAGACTTATCATCTGCAGCTGCTTGGGATGTAGAAATCTATCAGTTTGCTGCAAAAGAATGCATAATGTATAATTGGCATAGATTTATGTTTGGGATCACCAATTTATATTGCCTCCACACTTTTTAAAAAATTATTCTGAATATTTTTATTTGTTAAT